AAAATTTTTGGACCGAAGACTAAATTAGATATATCAAATGTAGTCCAGTAATTTATAAATTAATGTGATTATTTATTTACCAATGAGTTAAAAATAATAATTTATAAATTAAAGAAAGTTTTTATTTACTAAGAAGTTAAAAATAATAATTTATAAATTAATGAGAGTTTTTATCTTACTAAAGAGTTAAAAATAATAAATTACAAATTAAGAGAATTTTTTTTCCTAGGAGAAGTTAAGGTTATAAATATATTTTTTCGTTTTTCTTATGTAGTTATGGTTAATGAATTAAACTTTCATATGTATTTTTTGACTTTTTAAAATAGTTATGATTCATGAATTATAATTAATTATTAATATATTTATAATTTTAATTGAATTTTTTATCTTACAAAAAAGTTAAGATTATAAAAATGTATCTTGCAATTTTTCCTAAAAAATTAAGGTTCATGAATGTATTTTAAACTTTTCCTAAATAGATATGGTTCATAAATGAGAATCAACTATGATTAATGTATTTATAATTTTAAAAGTTGTGTTAATATCTATATATACTTGGAAAAAAATTTATATCTAACAGAAATAAAATTTTGAATTTTTGTATTAGTCTCTATTTCTTAATTTTCTCATTTTCAACAGAGTAAAATATAAAGTTAGTCTACATCAAAAAATTTTCTTACAGTAACAAATCTCCATGCCACCTCTGAAAGTCTGAAACTTTATAACCACGTGGATTTCCATACACGTAATCGAGCAAAGGTACGTATATATACTTTACATATTGATCATCTTAATATATATATATATTATATATATATACATTACAAAATCTAAAAGGAAAAGAAAAAGAGTGGCGTACATACAGAGAGAGAGAGAGAGAGAGACAATGAATCATCTGTCACTTTAAAATTCACTTCAAGGTTTCAAATAGAAAATCTCCTGCAAGGTCCCACACCGTCCACTTCCACTTCCAACCACTAACCTTCTTCTCTCTCTTGCGATTCTCGGGGAACTTATGTGTATATATATATTGCATGTAAACCAGATCAGCCGAAACAAATTTAAGCTTAGAGATGGATCAGAAGGAAGATGTTCCATCAGCTCCTTCAACACCAGCAACACCGGGGACTCCTGGTGCTCCTCTCTTTGGTGGGTTTAGAAGGGAGAGATCATCATCAGGCTTTTTCAGATCAAAATCTCTCATCAACACCTGCAACTGCTTCACCCTTCGAGATTGGAGCTTAGAAGATCCATCAGTACTCCCTCCTGTCACCTGTACATTGCCTCACCCTCCTGTCTCTCTTGCAAGAAAGGTAGACTACTCATATAAATATATGTATGTGTATGTAGTATATAGAGAGAGAGATAAAGACGTTTACTTATGATTTTGTAATGAATAGGTGGGAGCAGAGTTTATAGGGACTCTGATACTGATATTTGCTGGGACGGCTACTGCTATCGTGAACCAAAAAAGTCAGGGCTCTGAAACCCTAATTGGTCTGGCTGCCTCCACCGGACTTGCTGTCATGATCGTCATTCTCTCAACTGGTCACATCTCCGGCGCCCATCTTAACCCAGCTGTCACCATTTCCTTCGCAGCTCTCCACCACTTTCCTTGGAAACATGTACCTACTAGTCCTCTATGCATGAGTGCATTTTTTCTATTTTGTTTCTTTTTCTCACACACACACACACACACACAATAACACATAGACAGTTATTCAGTATACATATATATATATATATACGTATAATTTATTAAAGTTTGAAGTTTTATTCATAATTTGGTTGTGGGTAATGCAGAATTTATAAAATTTCAATTTTTATTGATAATTTGGTTGTGGGTAACGCAGAATTTTATAAAGTTCAAATTTTTATTGATAATTTGGTTGTGAGTAATGCAAAATTTATTAAGTTCAAATTTTTATTGATATTTTGGCTGTGGGTAATGCAGGTACCAGCTTATATAGCGGCACAAACTGTGGGATCACTCTGTGCAGCATTTGCCTTAAAAATAGTTTTCCATCCGATGATGGGGGGAGGAGTGACAGTTCCATCGCCATCAGTAGGATATGCACAAGCTTTTGCTTTGGAATTTATTATTTCTTTTAATCTCATGTTTGTTGTCACTGCTGTGGCTACTGACACCAGAGCTGTAAGTCACCTTTTTAATTTTAACTTTCCTGATTAGTTATTAGTTTAATACAATTGGAAACTGTAATTCGATTAGTTAGCATCTTTCTTCACTTCATTTCCCTATACCCTCAAATGCTTATATCCATATTTCTCTATATTAGCATTCAGTTATCTACTTGCAGTATATATATATATATATATGTACAGAACCCAAGAATTTTTAATTTTTACACAGCTGTTCCCATCTCTAAGATCCATGTTCATTAATTTTATAGAATAGGCTGTCTTTTATCTTCTTCCCTTCATTCATTTTATAATGAATATTTTGTACCACTCGAAAAAATTAATACAAAATATATAATAATAATAATTTGATGGGAGATGCTCAAACTTGATACCATTATTATATTAGAGTAACTCAATTGTGGTTATTTAAAGAATTCTTCATACAATTATGGAGAGACATGTATGCAGAGGAGTCAACTGATGTCTGAGGATGTGCAGGTGGGAGAGCTGGCAGGAATCGCGGTGGGAGCAACCGTGATGCTAAACATACTCATAGCTGGGTATGTGAATCAAATCAAATTACCATAATCTAATATATATTTCTATTCTTCCTCATATACAAGACCATAATCTAAAGAGTCAAATGACCAAAATTAAATTTCTAGTAGATCTCCAGGAAGTACATATATGTGAATGTGTTGTTTTACCGTGTGATACAGACCATCAACAGGAGCTTCCATGAACCCAGTAAGAACACTAGGCCCAGCCATAGCAGCAAACAACTACAAAGCCATATGGGTGTACCTTATAGCTCCCATACTGGGTGCACTTAGTGGTGCCGGAATCTATACTGCAGTCAAGCTGCCGGAGGAAGATGCTGACACTCATGAAAAGCCTTCAACTGCGAGAAGCTTTAGAAGGTGATCATCAGAAACTATCATGAGATTTCTATCACAAATCCAGATGTGAAATATGAACAACGCAGATGAGTAGGAGGTCGCTCTGGAGTTGCATTAAGACAGATAAATTTCAGCTATGTGTACCAATTATATGTATAAAGTTATTCATGATTCTCATTAATAAAAAAATACCCAAAAAAATTATAATTTCCAGTTTCTTTTAGCAACAAAAACATTTACAGGCTACAATTTTCCTAGCTGTAGTTTTATTATAAGCAAAGATAATCCTTTTCCTTTCAACTGTATACAAAAGTAACCTTTTTGAGTTGGATACAGCAGGGAATGGGTGTCTACAGTTATTTATCAGACACTTGAGCCTCTAAACTTTCAGCATAAACATTTTTCTAACTGTAACATTGCATCTTTCAAATAAGTCTTTAACCAGAAAGAGCACACACATTAACAGTCTAAAGATTACTAACGTAGTGCTTTTTCCCTTAGTCAATAAAGAAGAGACCCTAAACAGGAGAGAAGAAAATGAAACAGAAGAAAGAATGAAAGAAAATCCAAAAACAAAGATAAGATGAGCAGTACCAGATGCACTACCAGATGCACCAAGCAATTGTGCAGAGAAGACAGAGCATGAAAAAATATTTTTCAATTGCTTTGCTGCTGCTTTTTGGAAGTTATAAGAAAGAGAGGGAAGACTTTTGGAGTGAACCGGGAAGGAAATACCACTAGCATTGCTAACATCCCACTCAGCTCAGAGCAACTTCAGGAAACAGCATGCAATGGACAGCAAAAGCAGTTTATAAGTGCAAGAATATATCTACCTGACTCCATAATGTTAAGTGTTAGGCATGTTACATAAGCTCCCAATGATATCACTCAGAATTACTAAAAACAATCAGCAAGAAGCAAAATTCTAATATAGCAGCTCCATTATATGTTCACTATTTAGTAGGAATAAGGTTAATTTCCCCTCCTTCCAATATCATAAATATCATTTTCACTTGTAATCACATAAAAACACATTATATTGTAAAATAATAGAACACAAGGAAGCTCTAAGCTTTTCTCCTTGAATAAGTAGAGAAAATGTTTTAAACATACATACATCACCTGGTGGGTTAAGGGTCCGATAATTCCTTTGAAACCTCCATCAGTTCATTGCATAAATTTTGGGGGCATCCTTTTTGTTAGAGCATGCACCAAATGGCATACTTCAGCCATTTCTCCATTGCAGGTCAACTTCACAACCAGCCCCATTACTGCACTGAAACAAAACATAGAAACTCTTAACTATTTCCTTAACAGGGAGAAGCTAAGCGACATTTATCATCTTCAAAGAAATTATGTTGTAAGAGAACAACAATTTGGGCTTTAACTAGCCTAACTTGGCTTATGACTCCCAGGAGTACCAATTTAAGGCCTTCAACTCTGGTTTTTATGAACCCATTACTTAAAAACTTCATCTGCCAACCAGAAATAGGTCAAGACCTTTGCTTAATATCACATTTAATGAACCCAATAATACGCTTATGTTCCAATTTGTTAAGCCGTTCAAATTCTATAGTAAAGACTGGCAAATGTTCATCTAACTCTGATAAAGAGGGAAAAGTAGCTCAACTTGCTGGTAAGAGTATCTGAACAGAGTAAGCGGTCGAACCAAGAAACCTTTCTATTTAAAATATATAAATGTATTAAATGGACAGGTATGTAGATTAGTGACATCAACAATGCTTTTCTTCATGGGACACTGCATGAACGATTGAAATTATCAACAATGGTGAGAAAAAAATATGCTCCTGTCAAAGATTTTTGGTTATAAGGTCCCCAAAGATCTACATGTATTAATTGAAAAATTTTGGTGGTTTTAATATGACTGAGTGGAAATGATGTTCTCTGTTGCGTAGCTATTTGGCAAACGTCACAAGGAGCAAGGGAAACATGTTTATTTTTTAGAAAATGTAAATGAGACAAAGCTAAAGAGGAAGCATGTCCTAGTCTTTTATGCCAAAGAGATAAGAACTGAATTGATTTTTTTTTTTTTGGAATCAATACAAATGCAGCTGAGAGAATGAACTAAATTAACAGTATTGCTATTTTGTTTTAACAAATTTGTGTGATAATCAATCAAGTCAGGACTAATGCTTATTGAATCCAAAATGTAAAATCGCCCAATCACCCTTTCAACAGTTAGGATTTTCTCATTTTGTAGGTCCTGCAACAAGCAATAGTTAGAAAAGAAAACAAATTTAATCAAAAAGGTTTCTGAAAGTTTATTTACTGATAGTAGGTTATATTGGAAAACTGGTACATGCAAAGTGCATGTTAAAATAAGATTGGGAGAGAAATGTACATCTCCTACATGATGTACCATATTGACTGAATCATCAGGTAAGAAAACAAGAGTAATGGCTTTGACTGGATTTGGTTTTTGAATGAGTTTTAGATCACTACACATATGACTTGAGGCTCCTGTATCCACAATCCAGCTATCAGGTTCCAATAGATCAAGTATATTAAAAGCAAAATGGTGTGAAGTTATACCTGCAAAATCTTGGAAATGAGACATGTTAACAAGACCTCCTCTGTGATACATTTCCCTTTAATAAGTTTACTAATTTCTTGTTGAATCAGCTCCTGAATCTTGTTGTTTATACCTGCTGAAATTGTTCCTTCCTTGTCAGCATTGATCTTAGTATCCACATCTGCCATATTTGCCATCCGTTTAAAACCTTGTTTCCCTTTGGTTTTCATGAGGTCTTTGTACCAATCAGGAATGTCATGGATCTTAAAACATGTCTCTTTGGTGTGTCCAGTAAAATTGCAATGTGAACAACATAAATTAGATTTATCAATCTTCTTAGCTCCACCTCTATCATTGCCATAATTCTTTGCATCATGACATGTTCTTTTGTTATTAACTGTCATCATAGCAACATTATCCAGGATATCTGTGTATACATTTTTAACTTTTCTTTGTTTTTCAACTCTCAAAATCATTGAATAAACTTTGTTCACATAAGGTAATGGTTCTATCACCAAAATCTAATTTCTTATGTTATCATATCCATCATTCAGACCCATTAAAAATTGCATCAACTTGCTAGAAGAGTTATAGTCTATTACCTGCTGAGCTGCTCCACAGCTGCATTGTGGAACTAGTTGCAAGCATTGCAGCTCATCCCATAACTTCTTAAACTTTGTGTAGTACTGAACCACTGTTTGGTTCCCTTGAGAAATGGAAGAAATCTCCCTCTGCAAGTGGTATAGTAACGAACCATTGCATTCTCCAAATCCCTCCTCCAATTCCTGCCAAAGTTCCTTTGCAGATGCAGTATACAAGAATGCATCTACAATGTCTTTGGCAATGGAATTTAGTATCAAAGACTGTGCCATACAGTCCATTTTATTCCATTTTTCAAAATTCTCTTATCCTTGTTTTGGCATTGCATATTTTCCATCTATGAAGCCCAGCTTCATCTTGGCTCCTAGAGCTATCTTCACGGAACAACTCCAGGTTAGATAGTTGTTTCCATTTAATGGAGTGGAAACAAGAATCATGCCTGGATTATTAGATGATTGAAGAAGTAATGGATCTTCGTCGTTATGTCTAGCTCCTGGAACACTTCCTGTCACAGTCTCTGTAACGCCAATAATTCCCCCCATACCTAAAAACTATTTGTTTTCTCTCAATTTGGATCGATTGCGCTCTGATACCATGAACAGAGTAAGCTGTCGAACCAAGAAATCTTTCTATTTAAAATATATAATTTTCTTACACCCCATACAAGAAGGCTACTGCTATTTATATATATCTAAGAAAAAGGTCGAAGAGAAAAAAATAAAAGGAGCACCAGAAATGGATAACAAAACAGTTGGCTGTTACAACAGAAAACACAGCTGGCATAGCACACTCCATTATGCATGCTGTTACGACAGAAAATGCAGTAGGTGAATATCTTAATTCTCTACAGTATCCATGAAAGATAAGAAAATATTACATTTATCATTTAATTGTTTCTTCAAATATCAATAGACTTGTTAAACTTAAACAAAATCAAATATTTACCTCCCTTAATCTCATGCAGCACATCTTCTCACCTCACTCCATGTCACTATTCCTTCTTCTCAGAAAAATGAAATTGCTCCTTCCTCCTTACTTCCAAGCCGGACCTCCTCATTACCCGCTTACCGTCCAAATAACAAGGCTCCCCAACCTTGATCAAAGAGGCAAAACTAGACGGGTCTGCCCTAATTCAGAATCGGGCCTGGAATGCTTTCGGATATAGAGAACCAAAGCAGCAATCAGTACGCCAATTACGTCAGCAACTGCATCCTTAGCCGAGGCGCCGGCTGAAGGAAAAATACCCATGTGGTCGGCAGCCTCCTTGGCGGCTCCAGCAGCCAGGGAGAGAATAGACCCGATCCAAATGGAGTTTCGTCTAAGAAACATGTACCGGGTCAGAGAGGCAAGTAAAGAGAAGAAGAAGGAGAGAGACAAACAAAAAAGAACATGGTAGAGCTTGTCTGGTGCAAACCAGGGGTCTCTGTCGTCATCATTGCTCTTCTCCATGTATCTTCACCACTCCAGCCTCTCAACTGGTGCAAGTCTCGTACATGTTTTCCCAATTTCCCCTAGTTCAGAAATGAAAGACGACACGGAAGAAGTGACCATCTTCGATACGGACCGACCCGGTCCGAATATTTTCTCGGGTCGGGCTGCGTCATTTGGGTTTTATTACATCCCATGCTGAGCATTATGGGCTGTAAAAGGATCTAGGCTTTTTACCTAATGTTTTATTTTAATTTTAACTTTTAAATTATTAAAAAATAAATAAGACAAGAAAAATAAAATTTGACACGTGACACTTAATATTAATGAGATGGAGAAAAAATTTTCCTCTACAATCTCTGTTTTTTTTTTTGGAGGAGTGAGATATAAAATTTATTATATAAAAGAGAGTCAAATTAAATTTGCTCTCAGACTTTTAAATTTCATCAGCAGAGACAAAAAAGAGAGAAATTTAAAAAAACTATTATTTTACAGGGAAAAAAGTGTTTAATACTCAATTGTGTTATATATAATTTTTTCTAATTTGATGAATATGTGTAATTTATTTTTATATATAATAAGAATTAAAAGTATTGATTTTAACTAGAAATTTGATTAGACTAGAAATATAAAATATTTGTTAAATTTAACCAAAGTTTGCTTTATATATTTAAAATTAAAATGAGTTTAAATTTTATAATATAAAATAAAATATAGATAAAAGTAATTTCAAAAAACCATACAATCTAACATATTTTAAAACTTCAATATTCATCTCTAGTTGAAAGAAACTTCAAACACTCTGGTTATAGTAAAAATCCAATCACCAAAAGTGTCTAAAGATCTTTAAGAATACCACAATAATGTTGCATTGAATAGCATTAATTCTCTAAATTTAATTAAATCAAATCATATAAAATTTAATCACATTACTGGAAATAACTAAGAGCAAAACAAAACACCGAAAAGATTTTACGTGAAAATGAAAATAGACATGGGTAACACGAACTTTACGACTGACCCAGGAAGTAAGGAAAACCTTAAGACTTGAGGGTAATTGCCATTACAGATCATTCAAAAAAAAACAAGGTTTGACATTCGGACTACGGTTACTTGCCTACAGATCATTTAGAAAAGGTTATCAGATCTTTAACTAATCTTTCGATACATGCCCTACGGCCGCTAGTTCATTCTATCAATCAAATCATTGATTTGATCCTCCCGATTGCCTGCTTCTCCACCTTCCTTAAATAACTGTTTGTTCGCTTTGAATCCTCCTTCTGGCTTGTTCAACTGCAATGGCCCCAAAAACCTAACAACCTCCTTAAATTGTGGGCCAACAGTAGCAATTTCATGTACTAAATCTTCTATGCTTATTATGCCATATTTCCCTAACGCCTGTCAAAGAAAACAAAGTAAAGAAAATTCAACATGCATTAGAAATATTGAGTACGTCAGATGACTTGCAAAGTCATACCAGTGATCATGTGGAATAAGTTGAATACCTGCTCAATAACATTGTTATCAGTAAGGGGTACTCTTTCGTTATCTACCTGCCCATACCCCTTCTTGTATATCAGCTCTCTCACATTCTTCAAATTAGGATATCTTCATAAAAGCAAGATTAAAAAGAAAAAGCCATAAACACCTGGTAGAGTCTAAAATGAAACAAGAAACAAACAAGATAACTAAATTTTGTGAGTAAGAAATGTTTTCCTTAACAACCCTAACGATTTACTTGTCAAGGCGGTGCTTGTAAATGTTTCCTTCATGTAACTAATCAATGTTCAGAAAGTGAAAAAAAGAATCATAAAG